ATGTGCCCCTCTTTCCATTTTTTGTATTTGTTCTTTCTGTCTTTCAGTTTGTCAGAGAGATCTTTGTGCAGTCATGTTGGTTTCTTCCTGAATTTCTTGTTTTTCTTTTATGGGGACAATTCCTATCTTTTTCAATCACCTGCACCAGCTCCCCAATTTTCAGGAAGTGTCCTAACCCAGGGGTCCCCAACTCCTGGGCCACGACCCACTACTGCCACTCACACAGAACCATCCCCTCCCCCCCCCACTGGGCTGCCAAACTGGAAAGCTTGGGGACTGCTGTCCTAACCTTCCAGAGATGATTTTGATGAAGGGCATTGGGAAGAGAAAGGAACCAGAAGAACATCATGCTGGATCAGAAGACTTCTGCAAGTCTGCCAGCAAAGAAGCAAACTTTGAAACTATCCGTCCACATGTGTGTGAGGGAAAGAAATAAAACTCAGTATGATAAATACTGCCTAGCTGATATAAGAATCTCACCAACAATACTGTAGTAATTTCTCCAAATGCTCATTTCTGCTACATATTAGAATGACATCATTATTTTTGGAATGAATATTACTTACGAAAACTAACCATTAACCTAATCTAAAGCTTTAGAGTCCAGGAACTCTAGCTTGCCTCACAAGTTCTTTGGTTTTCCCCCAAAAAAGGATACTTTGTGTATTTTTAAGTCCTATTATTCAGTGTAAATAAATTAGATACTGCATAGTTTCATCATGCATTTTATACTTTATCACTGAGGTTTAGGTTTGATTTCACCTTTAGTCTAGATATCCACTGTGACCAAATAAAGATCAGATTGGTATTTCCACTTGCCAGAACTTGACATCAGAACTTTTTGTTGAAGAAAATGATTTAAAAAATATTCTGTTCAGCACTGGTTAACATTATTACTTTTACCCACACTAGATAGCCTCCCCTCTTCTATAAATTTAGGAATATACTAAAGAAAAAAAGCTTTCTTTCCCTGCAAAGATGAACTTTTCACCAATGTATTAACTGCCTTATGTTCATTTTCTAGACTTCTAGCCAGCTTCCTGGCTGACTCATATGAGAGGTACTAGTTTAAAAAGTTTCATTAAATAGTTACATGCATATGTAAGTGCAAAATTATTCTATATGTGAACTAAAACATTATGTCCAACCTTACCTCCTCATGAGGACCACAGCCAGTCACCAAAATGCTTGGCCTGAAGTTATGTATTTGAACTTTCTTCTCCAATCTGGAATTAAGCTCTTCCAAAGAAGCTTCAGAGATGAGCATGACAGGGCTACAGTCAGAATAGGCAATCTAGAGAAGTATATTCCATAAATGAACAATGTCAAAACATCTACATAAAATACAGAGAGAGGGTCAATCTGTAGCACAAAAGGAAGCAATCCCCAAATAATTGTCTATACAGGTGGGTCTTTGTTGAACAACCACTTGTTCAACAATCATTCAAGCTTATGACAGCTTTGAACAAATGGTAGTTAAGGTCAGTCCTTGGAGTTCCTGCTGCTGCAGCATCCGCATGGTCCAGGCATTTAGCAAGTGGCTTAAGAGTATGTCGCAATGAGCCATGGTCACGACTGCAATTTCCAATGTTCCCTATCAGCTTCCCATAAGCAAAATCAATGGGGAAGCCGGCAGGAAGTCAGATGTTGCTGTCATGTGAGGTCCTTGCTTAATGACAATCAGAACTCCCATCACTAAGCAGCATAGTCATATGACATTGTGGTTTATAACTGCATTATTTAGCAATTGCCAATTCCAATCCCAATTGCCATTGATAACCAAGGACTACTTGTGATATCAGGTAGACTTATTAAACTATGTGTTAAAATATCTGACTACAGCCATTTACTGAAGAAAAAGTATATTTGTCACATGATACTCAAATCTATTTAAGTTTTAGAAAAAAAGGACCCAGCCAGTCACCACTTGGAAACTGATTATCAAGGCGGCTCTCCTTGCATAGGGATCTCCNAGTCCTGCAGATGCTGCTCCCCCTAAGGTAGCTATGTTTGGCAGGGAAACAGTGAACGATTGCAAATTATGCATAAATAAAAACTAGAGTGCGTTGATTAATTTCTGTTCTGATTGCTTATAGCGGGAAATGGACAGGTAAATTTTAAGATGAACAAATGCTGAAAGATAGTGAATAATAATTGGTCTGTTTGAAGGAGCGCTTATCGAAAGAAGTGGAAATATATGTATAGTGCATGAGCATTTCTGCCCACTTGTATTAAAAATGGAAGTATGACAAGAGAAATAAAAAATGTATAAAGGAAAAGGGAAGAGCAATAAAGAGGTAGCTGGATGGAGTTGACGTGAACAGTTTGAACTCCTTGGACCTGAGAAGTGGACAGAGTTCTTGGTACTGGAAGCTCAGCCATCTGCTCTTTAGATTCATGCCTCTCCTGGCTTGTTAAAGAGGCTCAAGAGATGTTGTTTGAATGGGTTCTAATTGGTTTCATATATGAAAAAGTATCACACTATTATTTTAGGGGAGCATTTGACCTTTAAATTCCATGGTACATTTTGCTGACAGTAATACCAAGAACATATACTGCAGAATAAAGAAAAAGCACGCACCAAAAAAGGAACTACATTCTTATATCAAATCCATAATTCTATGATATGTGTAATTTAATCACCCTAAATCATATTATTATACAAAATAAGGTTATTAATACTTTTTGCAAATATATTCTTTCAATAACTTCAGATAAATAATTACATGGAAAAACGCTTGTACATTTTATATTTTTATTTTTAAAAATCAAATAATAATTCCTATATCACTTGCAGAGTTTACATTCAGTAACCTGATAATATTCTTATAAGCAAGAGCATATGTTACAAATGTTAATAATTTCATCACTTAAAAATAAATCAGATACAAATTATGATATAAAGAAAGCTTATCGATACATATTTTAATCTATCTTTGTGAATAAAATAAAAGGGATAAGGAGATGTGAGGCCACTCCAAATTTGACATTATCATATTATAGCAAAATCATATTGAAATCAATGCAACTTAGTTCCAAGTGATAGTTAGAATAAGATCTATAAAAATACGGATTGACAGTGAAGAATTAGGAACTTAAAATTACAGAGTTAAAAGAAACCATTTAGGCTATTAAGTCCAAACCCCTGTCTGGTGCTGGAATCCAGAATAAACAGTCTCAGACAGTTGGCCCTCTGCATGAACATACCAGGCAGATGAGAGAGCCCCACCATCTCTCACTGGTTCCACTGCCAAACTAGTATTGATTGATTCATTGATTCATTCATTCGTTTATTCATCAAATTCATATAGCTACCCATCTCACAAAAAACAATTAGCAATAAAATTATAAAACAGTACCATATAAAAAAATAATTACCGAGAAAATTTTAAAAACCATGATTAAAGTTAAGAGAAGGCAGTAACAGTAGAGCCACCTAGGAATGTGTTTATGACACTTAATGGGAACCTGCCCCTCTATAACTTAAATCAGTTACTATTTAATCAGGGTGGATTTGATTTAAATCAAGTTGATTTAAATCACAATTTAAATCATGATTTAAATCACTAGTAAAAAGGCTTGATTTAAATCAACTCGATTTAAATCATAATTTTTAAAGAACAACTGTCATCTCTGTCCAGCAGCAGCTCCTCCTTTGACCCACTGTTGACTCACCGACAATCCCATTCACTTTAATGGGACGGCTGATGATGCAGCAGAGACACAAGAAGGTGGGGGACGTGGCGGGCAGCAAGTGAGTGGATGCCCGCTAACAGGCGCTGCCATGATGGATCTGAAATGACAGGTGCTCTTTAAATGTAAGGACTCATTCTTGCTGGTAGTTAGAATCTTTAATACTATTTGCAAACAAAATGAAGGTTTCCTGTTTAGAATAATAAGCTGTCAGATTAGTAAAACAGCAATATCACAACCAATTTTAGGTTAATAGGTTAATCGCACATAGTTGGAAAACTACTCAAATTCTTTTATTTAACTAAAACACTTCGAGCCTGATATAGATGCATTTCTCTTCAAACAATCATACAGTTTGTAATGTACATAGATTTGCAAAACAATGGGATAAAGGAATATTCCTCAACTTTGTTTTATGATTTATCTCATGGTTACTGTGAAATTGTGTGAATGCATCAAGGCACTGCATGTTATCTCAGCTTGCAGATCTTGGATTCATTGAATGAGTTTACCAAAAATGTAAATATTGCAGAATGGACAGCCTCGTGGTACATAAGTAAGCTTCATTTCATGCTGAATAAGCTAAATTATTAATATATCTTAAATAGAAAACTATATTTAGATAGATTTTTTACTTCAAAAGCATTTTATTAAAATAAATTTGATAAAAATCAAAAAATCTGATTTAAATTAAAAAAAATCTGATTTTAATTTTTTAAAAATCGATTATTATCCACCCTGCATTTAATTAAATCCACTAATAAGAGAGTTAAATGTCTTAACCTTCTTCCATGTGACATCCTTTCAGTTATATGAACAGTTATTACAGGCCCCTCAACCATCTTTTCTCAAGGTAATCACACCCACCTGCTTCAGCCTCTCTTCAAAATCTTAGCTTCTTATCCCATGATCATCTTTGCTAACCTTCTCTGAACCTGTTTAAACTTCTCTGAAACCTTTAAAGTGTGCTGCTCAATTACAGTACTGAGCCACAAAAGAAACAGAGTGGATTGATTATATATCTCATGATTTGGAAATTATTCTTCAGCTTGATGTAGTCTAAAATTACATTTGCCTTCTTTGCAGCACATCATATTGATGGCTCATACTTCATTTTATCTCTCACAAGCTTTCCATAATCATTATGTATTAATTACCATATAAAGTTGAATTCTGACAGTGTTTTTGATTCAATTCTAGAAAGCAGAAAATATTTATAACCAATACAATTGCATTTAACATGTTACAGAAAGTATTCGTAGATGAAAGATAGAAAATTTTCATTAGAAAGACATTCACCTTCAAAAAAGATATTTAAAAGATATCAAAAGTGTATTTCCATTTGAGATATTTCCAGGGCTTTTTTTCTCGGAGAAAAGGTGGCGGAACTCAAACCTGGCCACGCCCTCATCAAACCCTAGGACCGCCCCTTTAGAGAACAGGATGCAAGTAAAATTTGGGAGGGGCTATTTCCGGTGCGGCCGGCCCGGAAAAAGGTGCCGGAACGCGGTTCCGCCGCGTTCCGGCTGAAAAAAAGCCCTGGATATTTCTATCACCACATTATCTTGTAAATATGATCTCCAACCTTAAGTGTTCCTGTTTTATCAACTCCAAAGTACCACCCAAACAAAGGGCTTGATTTGTATATATGCTTTTCAGAAGGCTCACACAAACGGTAACTATTAAAAAAAAATAAGATCATAATGAATTACTCATAAAATAGTTAACTCTGTTTTCAAATAAGCAGATATTTTATTATAAGAAGCTAACAAACATTAGTTTCCTACATGCCTAAAATTCCAGATTGTTACTAAATCTTGCAATCACATAGTAACAACTATTTTGAAAGTCTAAAATTAAAGCTGAAACCTAAACATAGTTGCTTGGACTATCATTTAAATTGAACTCAGTGGGACTTTATATCCTTAAAAGTTGCACTGTACTTGAAATTGTATGTTCATTTTTTAAATTTAAATTATATTTATTTCAACTATTAGATAAAATTATTAAGAACATTAAAGAGGAAAACTAAGACAACTGCAACACTGAAGATGAACTACCTACCTATCCTGGGACACGTATATTCGCCTTCATTTATGAAGTACCTAATTTTATTAATGGAGTCTGTGGTAGCAAAAATTCACAAAAAAGGCAGTTTTGCTATTGCATTTGCTCCAGCTTCTCCAACCTGGTTCCTCTAGGCACACTGGGAATGTAACTTCCAGCTGAAGTCTCATCTCATCTGGAGGGTACCAGGTTGTGGAAGGCTGTTCTCAATTAAATTCTAGCCCTCCAAAATGTGCACAGATAATTGCCACATTTGAAAAAAACACAATCATGCACATGTGTGTGTATGTGTGTGTGTGTGTTTGTGTACGCGCACGCACACACTGGCAACTGCCTGGAGAAACCCCCACACGGTGGGGGAGGGTTTTTTCAACATCTTTGGAATTGGTTTGCCATTGCTTCCATTCTAGGGCTGAGAGTGTATGACTGGACCAAGATCACCCAACTGCTTTGTGCCTAAGATGGGACTAGAATTCACAGTCTCCCAGTTTCTAACCTAATACCTTAACTACACCAAACTGGCTCTCGTCAATTGTATTGGATATGTCAAAATATTTTATTACCTTTTCAAAGTATTAAGAGGTTCTTTTCTGTCTATGATGCCAGTATCTGGATCAACTGTTGTAAGAATACACCTACAATGAGAAAGTTGAATGAGGTAACAACAGCCTTAAATTGTTTTTGGCCATAAAATACATAACAAAAAATGCATACCTGGGACAGGCCACTGCCCCTCTCATTTGTACACTTCCAATTATAATATCATTCCAGGTGTCCTATAAAAATATAATGGTTTGGTATTTTATTTCTTATCATCCAAGGCAATTCAATGTGCTCAAATGAATTTTGATTATGAGCATTCTGACATGAGTGTAAATGTTATAAAAGAAACCAATAAAAGAAAAGAATAACATTTTTAAGTGATGCCTGTCATAGACAAGGTTCAGATTATGTTCCCTACTGAGTTTTAACTATTCAATTTTATAGAACATCAATTTTACATAAAGGCTGAAAATAAAATGATTCACATGGTAGTAACTTAATGTCTGTACATTATAGCTCAGTGGTGGCGAACCTATGGCACGGGTGCCAGAGGCGGCACTCAGAGCCCTCTCTGTGGGCACGCGCGCCGTCGCCCCAGTCCTAGGCCTTCAGCTGGGTTTTATAAAACCTTTTTGCTTTAGGCCTCCACCGCTGTGTACAAAAAAAAAAAGGTTCAATCAGTCAATTTCAACTTCTCGCGGGAAAAAAAAAGATCTTGCAAAGTTGGAATTGATTGATTGAACTTTTTAGTCCCACCCAGTCTGCTGTTACCACCGTAGCCACGCTCACCCAATGGGCCACACCCACCCGGCACCCGACGATGCATAAGTGGGTTTTGGGTTTTCATTCATTTCATTCATTTCATTTCATTTCATTTATTCGATTTGTATCCCGCCCTTCTCCCGAGGGACTCAGGGCGGCTCACAACATTTTAAAACAGAAACATGCCCACAATCCCCGCCGAATAAAACCAATTAAAACCCAAATATTTTAAAGTTGTGATATTTAAAATTTTCTAAAAATGAACCCGATTTAAAATCCTCCCTAGGCCAGGCCCGCTTGCTGGAAAAGC